TCTCTCTCTCTCTCTCTCTCTCTCTCTCTCTCTCTCTGTGTGTATGCATATGCATGTGCACAAGTGTGGGACTGTGTGTGGGTGTGCTCACCACTGTTCTTGTTACTGTTTGTCAAGATATCATTCCTCCTTCATGACAGTACATAAACAGAGATGGTGTTTATATAAGAACTATACAGGATCTATTCTGACCTTACTTGTAAGTAGTGACTATAAGCAATAGTAACACCTTCATTTTTCAGTCATTTTAATTATATAAATTAACATTTTTCTAAGATAGCCTGAGAATCAGAGATCCAAACTGAATTCCTTACCCTCCCTCAGTCCACACACATACTCATTTATCCTGGAAGAAAGCATGCACCTATGATCACCTACACACACACACACACACACACACACACACACACACACACACACACACACACACACACTTTTACATGTGACCAAATTATGGTGATTTTGTATTCTGAAATATTTAAGTTTTTTGTTTAAGTTTTTTGTTGCTTTGATAAAATACCATGACCAAAAGTATCTAAGAAAAAAAGGATTTATTTTGGCTTACAGTCCCAGAGTGAGTCCATCATGTTAAGGAGACATGCTGTGGTGGGAGGATCTAGAAGCAGAGAGATCATTACCCACAGGAAGCAAAGAGAGAGAGCAGGGAGTGGACCAAGGCTATACACGCTAAAACAGGCTTCCAGTGATAAAGTCCCAAACAGCACCACCAATTGGGGCCAAAGTGTTCAAATGCGTGCACTTAAGGAGGACACTTCTCAATTAAACCCCATAACCATGTAACCTATAAAGTCTTCATCTGGGTCCTGTTATTAGATCAGGGTTGCTCCCTCCATTGCTATGTTCCAGACACACTGGTGGCCTGACACATTCAGCCCTTTCCTGCCTGATAGACCTTAGTACTTACTATTTCTGTGTAGAGTGCCCCAGTTCTTTAAATGAATGGCTGATTCTTCCCTTAGGTTGGGGTTAAGTTGTATCAGAAAATGTCTTCCTCAGTTACTCTCATAGTGTCGGTTGTGAGCCTAGCCCTTAGTAGCAGAGCCATCTTTCCATCCTGCCCTCAGTTACTATTTCTCATTATTTGCTAAGAATGACTGACTACTCCATGGTGACTTTCTACATTTTTTTATCTTGAATTTGTTTTGTCTTCTCTTCCCTGATGGTATTAGATTCTTACAGGATTCTTCTAATGCCCCAATGTACTGTTGCTTATAAATAATAGGTAAAGAGAGCTGACAACAGAGCCACCAATGGCTTCCACCCTGGGGACAGGGTAGCAGCAAGCTGGAGCTGCAGGTGCAGATTACATGGCAAGTGGGATTTTTATGATGTGCTAATTTGAATAACTCCAGTGGGCTCTGTACTATAAGGCTATAACTATTTGTCTGGCAACTGGCATATGGGCAAATAGACTGATCCTGTAGTGTGAGGACTATGAAAAGAATGGTGCCATATGAATTTAATCAGCTGATCTTAAAGCAGACTGACTGGTTTATAACTAGGGCATCAGAACTGAGCTGTCAGTTTCTAACATGCTGTATATAAGTTCATCAGTATGTAAGTTCTCAGTCATGTCACCAGATAGGGAAATGACATAAAGGAAATGAATTATGCTTATATAAATGTTATAAATCTAAACATTTCTCCATTCTTTGATAGTGTAGCAGATTGCCTTCTAATAATGAAGTTAACATTTTACTCATTTTGAACACATAGGAACATAAATGAACCTATTTATAACCCTCCTACACGCACACACAGAAAGATTGGTACTTTTAATTGTATTTAAAGACAAGAGCCACACACCTTCGATCCCAGCACTGGGGGAGTTAGAGGCAGGTGGATCACTGTGAGTTCAAGGTCAACCTGATCTGCAAAGTGAGTTCCAGGAAATAAATAAGAAATAATATATTATCATAAATGTCACTATTTTGATGCATACAGTTCCATCATTTTGCTGTATTTATAAAGCTGGGCAGCCATCATCCTTACTTCTGGAAGGTTTTCCTCAACCCCAAAAGAAACTCTAACACTTCCTTCTTCCTAGCTCTAGACATGACAGCTCTGCTTTCTGGCTTCATGGGTTCCTCCACTCATGTAATAGCACTTCATTCTCTTTTATGTTGAAACCACTCTGTTTAATAATGTGTCAGTTTTGTTTCCATCCACCAACTGGTGGATGTTTATACATTTTAAAGGACCTGTTAATGTTGTAAAACTTTAAATTTAGCTTCTGTCATGAAGAATTGAGTAACAGGAGTCTTCTATTTCTTAATGGTTCAGATTTAATAGTTTAGAGTAGTAATTTCCAGTTTGGGCTGTTATAAACACTGCTACTCTAAAGATTTGTCTGCATGTTTTTTTTGTTTGTTTTTGTTTGGTTTGGTTTGGTTTGGGTTTTGTTTTTTTGTTTTGTTTTGCTTTGCCTCTACCTTACTGAAATGCACATGCTTTTTCTAAGGGAAATTAAGCAGTATCTAGACTGTCCACTGTGTGATAGAGACTTAGTCTAGCAGTCAGAACACTGTTTGTGATTCTAGCTCTGTGTAAGTCCAAGCCAGGCCCTGCTACTGTGCACCTCTCTGCTCTCTTAAGAGTGAGACCTCTTGTTGCTCATCTCTCCAGCCGCATTTGAGGATATCTGAGCACTATGCCTTTCTTCGCTTATTTCTTTCTCTGCTGTCCTCAACGGATCCTTCCTACTTGACCAGTTTTCATGTTAGCATATCAAACTCGTCCCTGCTTTCATAGAACAAAGAACTGTGTCTTCTGTCCATGAATACAAGAGTTCCTGTTTTTCACCTCCCTTGTGATGATAGTAAATTCCACAGGGCTGTAGTGGTGGTGAAGCAAGGGCTACTGGCTGAATAGGAAAGCCTCTTACAGTTTCCAGTTATAGTCAGTCTGAATGAGACAGGAAAGCAAACTAAATAGGTAAGATTAGTTGTTTTTAAGGGAAGTGTAGAATTGATTAGTATAAACATGATGGATTGTGTGAATCTGTTTTATTTGTTCAAAATGCACTTTCTATCTAAGTTACAAGTAAATGCAAGGGTTTTTTGGCACATTCATATATATGTATACACACACACACACACACCTTTTGGGGGGCACAATCTTGTATGTATATGACCTTGCAGGTAAACACCTTTAATCCCAGCACTCATGAGGCAGACACAGGTGGATCTGTGAGTTGGAGATCCATCCAGCCTTGTCTACAGAGTGAGTTTCAGGATAAGCTCCAAAGCTACAGAGAAACCCTGTCTCAAAAAATCCCCGGGGGGGGGGGGGAGAAAGAAAGAAAAGATGCTATGTAGAACCTGAACTTTTCATCAAGTGTCAAATAGTTGGAGTCCTTTATATTGTTGAATGTTTTATACTGTAAGCTTTTTCTTAGGGGAGGTTATTGTATTAACCTAAACTCTTTAAGGAAAAGGATGCCCTTATCTTTTCCTCTTATCTTAGTTATTGTTTTACAATGATTACCTTATAAAATAATTATAAATTTATGGCTCTAATTTTGTGCCAAATTGAAATTCTTGAGGTGACTGTTCTATCTGGGAAATGTAGCAAAATCTGAGAATGAGTTCTTGAGCTAAAGTCCTCATGATGAGTGTATATGCACTAAGATGTACATTGCTATGTTCTGGTTTAAAGATGCAGTGTAAGTTTAGGAATGTTTCCTTTCTGTACTCAGCATTTAAACTTTGGGTGTAAGAAATATTAGACACCTTTGTTATGTTTCACATAATTCTGAACAAATATTTAAAAGCAGCATAAATTTTTCATTTATTTGTTTTACTTTGCTGAATTTATTCTAGGTTGGTTCTTACTTGAAATCTCCAAAATTCCCTATTTGGATTGTTGGCAGCGAAACCCACCTCACCGTGTTTTTTGCCAAGGTAGGCTTGTAGGGACTTTGTTTTCTTCAGAATGATATTAGGCAACTCGTAATACTATAAGTCCATATTTAGTTTGATCTTTCCTCAGATGGTAGTCCAACCATTAATAAATGTAATGTTTCCAAAAAATCTTATCAGTTCATACTAAGAAAGCCCTGTTGCTGTGCTGGAACTTTGGAGTCATCTCAGCAAACTGCTTTATGGCTCAGGTGCCATGTACTTCTGTCTACTAACTTCAGAACTCTGGTTTTTTATCTTGTTCAGAAATCACTGAGATGTGGAAGAAACAACTTTGGTTTCTGGGTTCTTGTGTAAAACTGTTCCTAAATCTTACTTGTTAAAACGATGTAATATTTTCCACAGCTGGATGGTCAGAGCTTTGCCATTGGAAACCTTCATTTAAACCCTAGGTGTGCTTCCCAACATCCCTGGACTCTTTTCTTCTATGTTCAAGACAAACTTGAACTTTATAAAGTACCTAGTTTTTAGAAGTGTTGTCAGCCTCAAATCTAAAATACTTAACAGTCCGTAGCACTAGGTGAGCACTCAGTAAATCTGAGCACTTGTTAGCACTATAGGCACATTCATTATTCAGCAAGCAGTTACAGACATCTCTGACACCATTAAGAACAAACTATCAGATGCTAATGGGGGGTATAAAAGTGTATTTTCAAGGTCCCTTACTCCAAGTGCACTCTTCTAATTATTCCAGGAGACTTTGACAGCATGTTTTTTTCTAGTATAAGGTTGCTTCTATAATAGTTTTATAAGTTTCATTGAACTGATAATCCGTTTTATTTATTTTCTTCCTGCTTTCATTGTGCTAGCCAAAATCCAGCTTATAGATATAGATTAAGGAACATGTTACTTTAACACGGACAAGTCATAAGTGCATTGTGTGAAAGTACAGGCTATCCTGATACATTATTTAGAGTCTGAAACTTGCTCTTCATTTCACTCTCAAAGTAGGGAGGATGAAGTCAACCTCAGAAACAGAAAACTTGTAATTCTAAACACATATTCATCGCTATATATTTCTGGAAATGAAAAGCAGCTTAAATTTACATGAAATATGTTTTTAAAACAATTATTTTACCTCTAACCCTATTCTTTAACATTAGGAAAACTGACATAAAACTATACAAGTGGGTTTGTGGAGATGGGAGAGAGCCAAGGCTGATACTATACAGACTGAGGCTTCCTGCCTCAGTGGAAAATTGAATAAATAGTAAATGAAGCTAACATTTATTGGGTTCTGTTTTAGATATTTTAAAATATAAAGTATTTGTATATTCCTCACTACATAAAAAATGCTGAAAGTTTTGCTGTCCTTGAAATTATAAAAAGGAACAATTCACTATTTGGGTTGGTCTTTTTAAAATACTTATACATGTTGAACTGTCACTTTTGGCCATACTTTGACTATTATTGTTTTGTTTTCAATTTTTGTCTGTTATTTTGTGGTTAATTTATTCACTCTGTATATCCTGTAACCCCAAAGAAACATAAGATTATAAGGTTTCTTCCCCAAGAATTTATTAAAAATAAGTTATAAAATTCTATATAATTGGCCTATGGATACTGAGACCTAAACAGGATGTCTCCATCAAATCCCTTCCCTCAGAGCTCATGGACCCCATGGAAGAGGCAGAAAGAGTTAAAAGCCAGAGGGGCTGGAGAACACCAAGGAAACAAGATCCTCTGAATCAATACAGGCAAAACACATATGAACTCAGATAATGAAGCAGCATGCATAGGGCCTGCACCAGGCCCTCTGTGTATACATCATGGCTTCTAGTAGTGCAGATGGGTGGGTCTCAGATTCTTGTGCCTTCTGCTGGACTCTCTTCCTGCTGTTGGTTTGTCCTGTCCACTCTAATGTTTTGTCATGGTTTTTTTTGTTATATTAAAAAACACAAATGAAAGACAATCTAGCCATAGCCACTAGGGTAAAGGTTAACAACTAAACTGTCGTTTATATCTGTTGGGAGAGAGAAAATCAGTTTTTTTAATGGAGTGACACTGGATTTATCAACCACTCCAAGGTGGGCCTCATCTTTAAGAGGAGCTGACCAACATATAAGGGACTCCATAGTTTTTTTTTTTTGTGTGTGTGTGTGTGTGTGTGTGTGTGTGTGCAAGGGGGGGGGGTATGCTTTTATTTGGTTAGAGTTTGATGTTTTTTTATCTTGTTTCTTGGGGATTTGTTGTATTGATTTTTTGTTTGTTTTTTGAAAAAAGAACTTAGAGTTGGGTAGATGTAGGAGGGGGGAAAGGATCTGGAATGACTTGAGGGAGGGAAAGAATATGATCAAAATATATTTAATTTTAAAAATTGTAAATAAAAAAATTTAAAAAGACTTGAATAGCTGTCAAGTACATATCTTTGAGTCTCTGAGGTCGAATTTAGACATACATATTTCATTAGACATTTCTATAGCTTCTCTATCAAACCCAAAGTCATCACAAATCCTGCCATTTTACCTCAGGAAGCAAATTTCTCATCCATTCTACCCTGACACAAATCAGAAAAGATCCACTTTGGGGAAGGGAAATACATTAAGGGTGGAAGAATAGGGGGAAGATATATTTTAAAGGTAAGGGTATAGGTGGCGCACGCCTTTAATCCCAGCACTCGGGAAGCAGAGGCAGGCGGATCTCTGTGAGTTCAAGGCCAGCCTGGTCTACAGAGGGAGTTTCAGGACAGGCTCCAAAGCAATACAGAGAAACCCTGTCTTGAAAAACCAACAACAAAAAAATTGTCCTATGAAATCATTTCTGTAGACTGGCTCTGTGTCTGGTGTTGTGGGTTTTCCTGGTTGGAGTTACACCGTTTTGCTTTGTTATAGTCAGCAGCCTCTACGGAAGCATAGTTTCTTGTCTCAAACGGTTAGATTCCTCATATGCTGTGCATAGGCTGCTGCTGTGTTCATTTCTTCCTGTGCTCAGCTATCAGATGTTTTCTAGGGGTAGTTGTGTCTTGGAATTGTGCCAGATGCTGTGACTACAGTGTTAAACAGACATTGTTCTTGCTGTTGTGGAGGTGTGTATCCTAGTGGAAAAAAGGCTATGGCTGAAGTTTCCACACTCAGAAACGTTCAAGAGTGATGATGAGTCTTGACAAAGCTCAGATCTATAATACCAAGGGAATTTATCTGAGTTTTGAAAAGCTGAGATGTTTCCTAGAAGAATTGATACTTACAGTGAGCACAGAGGTAGCAGTGAGATTAAACTAGCAAAGGGAACAAGAACTTTTGCTATTTAGAAAATAGTTGGACGAATGAATGACTGCAGAAGGAAAAGCTGATGTGAACACACTGAAAGAAAAGAGCTGAAGTGCTCAAAACCAGGGAGGCAGGTATGAGATAATGCTGGGAATGTAAGTACACTGTGTTACTACTTAGCCTAAAAGCACTCATAGCCACCTCACTTGGAAAAATTTGACCGCAACCAGTTTAGGGGTGGTAAGAAGAGGAACAAGCTTAAATTTGCATTTTGAACAGGGTACCATGGGTGATTCAGAAAACAGACGTGTTGAAAATAATCCAGGTCATAGGTAAAACAGATTTTTATCATATTTTTAGTAAGTGGTATAATTGGTATAATTTGATCCAGGGTAATTTTTTTATTATCCTTTGAGAATTCATACATGCATACAATGTATTTTTATCATCATCATACACACCCATTCCTTCCTCTTAACTTCTCCTGAATCTATCCCCTTCCTCTCCACCTCGCCTCCTTTTTTTTTTTTTTTTTTTCTTAATAATCCACTGAGGCTAGTTTGTGCTGCCCTATTTTGTGAATGTGTTGGGGGCATCCACTGTATCATGGTCTATCTACTAGGGACCACACTCCTAAGGAAACTGGCTGGCCCTTTCCCCAGCAGTCTATGTAGCTTCTCAGCTAAGGGTGGGAGGTCATGAGCTCCTCTTGTCTCCATGCTAGAGTATTATTTACTAGCTTGATCTTGTGCAGGTCTTGTGTAGGTAACCACAGCTGTATAGTTGTTGTTTTTTACTCCTTACTCTTTTGGCTCTTTTGAGGGGACTGTCACCCAGCTTCCAAATAAATCCACACAGAGGCTTATTCTTTCTTATGAATGCCTAACTTAGCTTGGCTTGTTTCTAGCCAGCTTTTCTTAATTTATTCCATCTACCTTTTTCCTCTGGGCGTTTTACCTTTCTCTATTTCTGTGTCTTTTCTTTCCTCCTTATTCTGTGTCTGGCTGTGTGGTTGGGGGACTGGCTCCTTCTTTTCTCACTCCTTGATCTTTTCTTCCCAGATTTCTCCCTCTGTTTATTCTCTCTGCCTGCCAGCCCTGCCTGTCCTTTCTCCCACCTCACTAAAGGCCGTTGTTCAGCTCTTTATTAGACCAAATCAGGTGTTTTAGACAGACAAAGTTACACAGCTTCAGAGTTAAACAAATGCAACATAAAAGAATGCAGCACATCTTTGCATCATTAAACAAATGTCCCACAGAATAAATAAACATAACACATCTTCAACTAATATTCCACCACACAGTTCAGTGGCCCTGTCATGTCCAGAAGACAACTGTTTGGCATGCCCCTTTGCCAACCTCTGGTTCTTACAGTCCCATTTATGGCTAAGAAACTGTGACCACTTAGCAAAATAATAGGATTAAGTTCATTCCTGGTTTGTGGGAAGACATGAACTAACATCTATTTGCCACAGATGGTACCATACATTTAATGAATCATAGATTGGTCAAATTTTCCATTACTTTCTTTTCTAGCAAAAAAGAAAAAACTCCTTTACATTGAGACTTCAGTTTTATTGCGAATTATAATTCATATTTATTCATTATATTTTCTCTTATTTCTAACCTAAGTTAGACATATTTTGATGTGTGTTATCAAAATAATGGGCTTAGTTTGAAACTAGTAGCTTAGTATTTTTTTATAATACTACGTCTTAATTTTCTGATTTCAAAGCAAGTGTATGATGGCAGATGTCCTTCTGTATATATGCCTCTT